CTCCCGTTTGGGGCCAGAGCCCTGTGGTGGCCATCCCTGGGATTAGGCTAGGTTTTAGGCCCTCCTCCTCTTTCCCTGCCCCTCCCCCACTTGATCATGCTAAGCAAGAAAAACCCTGGGTTTTATGCCTAGTGTCCACACTGGCCCCAAGCTTTTCTGACTCCAGACCCTGGGCAGGGACTTGGGCAAGTCGGGGCAAATGGTGAAAAATCACAGAAACTGGGGGCCGTGTGTCCAAGACAAAGCACTGTTCCTGGAAAGGAGGTTGCTTACCACCCTTCAGAGCCAGGAAGGCTGGACCTCTGGCCTGGGACAAGCATCAGGATGAACAGACTTCAGCTTCTTCATGGAGCCCAAGGCAGGGGAGGGGGGGCCTAGGTCCGGATCCCTCTCCCTCCTTCTGTCAGCAACAGACTTCTCCCCCGAAGAATGGACACAAGTGAGCTGGTCCTCCCGGCTGCTGCTGCTTGGCAAGCACAGAGGGCAAACAGGGGGCAGGGCACCGCCCGGCCAGGCCAGAGCAGGAAGGGACTGGAGAATTATAGAGCCTTTGGGCTCATGGACAAGTGACCAAACTAAGTCCCTTAGAGGGTCCCTCTGCCAGGTGCTGGCAAGGTCCTGGCCTCACCCTGGCCCCAAACCAATGATGTGTAGGTCGGTGTCTCCTGCCCTGATGGGTACTCCCTCCACCCTGCAGTCATGTCCACTCCAAAGAACCTTTTGCCTGTTCCTCATCACAGCAGTGGCCTCAGCCAGGGGACGGAGAGCATCTCTGAACAACTTGTGCAGGCTTTCGCTTTCTGTCCGGTTTTCCCTTCAGAGCTCTGCAGCTGCTAGAGATGCAGTGGGAATCGCTCACCTCGGCAGCAACTCAAGGGGTAGTCTGTGGGCAGGTCTTGAGTTACCAGCTTCTTCACTGGGAGAGATGAGGGCCAGCAGTGCCCAGCCAGGCTGAGTGAGACTGGACACTGCAAACTGTGCTTCTGCCTCCTGGCTGCTCCAGAAACAGGCCGGTGTCGCTGGCCTCGGGGCACCTACCTGGGCACGCATGTCATGCGGGTGCTGCCTGGGTCACTCCCTGGCCACAGGGATCGGGACTTGCTCTTCCTGCTCTGTCAAAGCCCAGGAGGCAGATGAGGTGGGGCTCCCTTACGTAGGGACAGATGGAAGTGTCCTTCTGGAAAAGGGTCAGGGCCCTTTTGACTCCAACAGGAATAAAGTGGAAAAGGAGCAGCTTGACCCCAGGAGAGAAGGCTCTGGTTCCAGCCCCTTCGGCTGCCTGGACACCAGGAGTCTCAGGGCCAACAGGGACAGGCACACGGCCTCTCTGTGAGCTTGTGTGGGACAGAGATTCTTCTTAAAGCTAGATGTAGGCCAGGACATGCGTGTTTGCACCCTTGATTTGTTGAACTCACTTCACGTTCACTGAGGCCTCATTAGTGAGCGGTCATGGCTGACAAGCACGGAGGCCGCAGGAAGGTCACTGGCGGCCTGGACATGCCCTTCTGAGGTCTCCAGGACCCAGACAACACTGGTATCCTGACTCCCAGGGCGGGGAGGCCGTGTCCTCTGCTACTCAGGGACCCATCCTCAGAGAGCCTCATTGGGCTGCCAGGCCTGGTTTTCTGACTCAAGTGACCACAGCATGAGCTCCCTTCTGCTGCCTCTCAGCCCTTGACCTGCTGGGTGGACCCACTGCCGCCGACTGCCCTGGGTCTTTTGCTGCATTTCAGGGCCCTCTGAGTTAGCACTCTGAGGAAATGGTGGAAATGCCCAGGCCTTGGCCAGGGGAAAGTCCCTCTCTGGCTTCAGAGTGGGTGGTCAGTCCAGATGTGGGTCTGTAGCCTGGGCCACCTCTGCAGGTGAGCAGTTCTTGGGGCTGGCTGGTGGACAGGTCCCGGCACGTGCTTGAGCAGGGCCCACAGCCGCCCCACTGCCGTGCCCCTGTGGATCCTTTTCAATCCCTCCTTTGTCTCCTGTGCCGGCACGGCTGCCAGGGTGCAATCTGAAATGAAAGTCTCCATGCCCCTGGGGCTTGGCCATGCGCTGCCTCCTCCTCCTCACTCACCTGGACCTTGCTGCAACACGCACAGGCATCTGGGGGCCGAGCCACCCTGCGCATCGCACTGAGGCCCTGGTGCTGCTGAAGGGCCCGTGGAGTGTCCTTCCCCCTCACTCCCCAGGCCCAGAGGAAGAAAAGGTCCTTCTCCAGAGCAATGAGGTGCC